ATATACAGTTATATATATATAATGTTTATAAATGTGGTCAGATTTTGTTTTTATGTTTTTGTATTGTCTTGGTAACAATCCTATAATTTTGGATTTTGAACCAATAAAATTATCTTATCTTATCTTATCTATCTGGATGCGACAGGTTTTTAATTTGTGACTTTGCTAGCAATTTCTACAGATATTGTTTCTGCAATGCTAATTATTAAAAAATGAACATCGTTTGTTTATGTCATACAAAATAACTGCAGGATAAAGATATATAGTATTTTACAATGATTTTTATGCTTTGACAGTAACCGAAGAAATAGCATAATTACATATGTAGTTATTCTAGCTTTACAAAGTGACCTTTTGACATTAACAAATAACTTTTTTGTCACGTATAAAGTAATGAGAAACCTTGCCGTCACCAGAGGGATGTTTGATAAGGTCAAATTCATCTGTATTTCAACGCGAGATGGTATATGTGGTTCGTACAAAGACCACTAATAGGAAACACGACTCCAGGGAGCAGCGACAAACTGTAATTTAAATACAAATTAGATCTACTGGATCTGAATGATTTTACACAAGTAATCTTCTTACATATAGCACACAGAATATACCAGGATATTCATTTTTTGGTGTTGTGTAAGTTAATACATAGGTGATAATTAACCAATCCTAATAGTTACTTCAATATAAACATCAATACTGATAATTACACTCAGAGTAATTACATAGGTTCCAATTAACAATGCAATGCCATCTTGATCCTCACATTATTATAATAAGTCGCACTCGTTAATATTATTTTAGGAAAAGAGACTTACATGGAGTTCCTTGTAATATATACTTATACAATATTGGAGATCCACCTTTATTCCAAATTCACAGGAAGCTAGATTAAAAAACTCATCCATTAGACAACAATCCATTACAACGATAAAACCAGGAAAAAACATCCAGAGGTTAACACAAAGTCCCCAATAAGATACAACTTCAAACATACTTAAATTGAGATATAAAGATCTTTCTTAAATATTTTTTAAAAGGCCATGATTCTAGAAAATTAATTAGACCTAGTCACTGCGTATCTTTTTTACAGTCTATATAAATATTATGATGGAAAAGAAAGGATATGGTGTAAAATTTCATGTCACAAAATCCGTACACAAACAAAACGCTTTTATTGCTGTTCTTCATCTGAGAGTCAAAATGAGGCCTTCAACACAGAGCAAAGGCAGACCTAACTGCAAGTTCCAGAGTGTCCCAAGCAGCGCCTTGGGTAGAATTCCGTCTTTATTAAAGTTGTGTATTGAAGCACACAGATGCGTAATGATATGGACAATAATGGGCACAGAAATCTAATACTGCCATAATTTGCTTGACAATCTCATTGAAAAATCAGAAACAATACAAATATTTCAACAACCAAGTTACACATTAAGATAATTGTTAGAGATAACTTAGCAGTAAATGATGTATGAAAAGAGTAAATTATAAGGAAGGACTACATTACTAACTAATTAACCCCAACGATACCGTAGTTCTAATATCGATGTAAGTGTATAAGGACTAGAGATTTATGAATATTAATAAGTCTATTTTGATTAACTCATGATTATTTCCATATATAACATCATATGGGCTGACCATTTTGAAAGAAATATTAGCTAGCTAAATCAGCATTATACGGTTGACATGAGTAACTTTTACCTGGAATTAAAAAGTGAGTGAATAACTTAAAACAATTATTCTCACCGGGACTCAAGATTTAAAAATTAATATGCTCGAAAGGACTGACATGGTATAATTTTTTCTTTTCCTATTCTAACTCAATCCAAAGCGTTTTCATATCAATTCTTGGAACAACAAAACTTGGGTACATAAGGTTGTGTGTAAAAACAGAAAATTCTCAACAGAAAAAATATAGTTGTCCGTTTCAAAATGTGTGTCGAAATAGTTGTAAAAGGATATACTTTATAGTTTATAATGACAGAAAAAGACTGCTATACCAATTATTACAAGGTCGATACATAGCTGAGAAATAACATGCTTAAGCTTAACTGACAAGATTTTACATTTCAGAATTTCATCTTTTGCATTTCAGAATTTCATCAAGATAGCTATATCATGTATATCATATATCATATATATCAAAGGATGTATTGATAAGGTTTAACTAATCTCCATGTTCTTGTTCCAGGCAGTGGATGACTCTTTATACGGCGAGAAAATGTCATCACTGATCTGGTTTTCCATGCACATAAGTGACAGATCAATATTGTGATCGATATAACCATGTTCAGGTCTAAATCAGATAATGGTATTTTTATGTCGTTACGGCATCATGTAATACATACAAAATATACCTCTTGCCTCCATTAATATCGTTTTCCGATTCAGATTGAATATGTAGTTATCAATTCTAAATTGCAATGGCACTTCACTTTTGTTGAAGGCGAAAATGAATTACCTTATCTGCCAGTTCTTTGAAGCTTCATAGATCGAAACGACGATATCTTTCAAAATGAGAGCTATTTGATATCAGCTATAAATGTTTCAGTATTTGCATCATAAGTGGTCTATTCTTCGTATTATTGACCATTTATTATTCATACACGAAATGTATTTCTGTTTTTGTGATATTGATGTCACCTGAATATTTTTTCATGAATAGAGAAGAAAGAGAATTTAAATAGATAAAATATAGAACTAATGTTTAACTGTAATTAAAAATGTTAAAAGCCAATAACTAACCTATGTATTATATATAAGGCATTGCGGCTTTTCAGAGCTTGCATTGTTTAAAGGCATGCTTATGTGAAACTAGTATAAATAATGTATAAGGTTTGTTATGGGTTTTTTTGATTCCTCAACTGAAACTGTACAGCAAAATCATTCTATGTCACTTTAATGAAAACAATGAAGTAATAAGGAAAAGTCATAAAAACATTTCCGACAGAAATATTAGGTTTTAAAAATTGTTATTACTATGATTCACTTTAGCGCACATTTCAGACCCGCAATCTTTTAGTCACTATTGATTTTGAATTGGAACTCACGAACTGAGTCGAGACCAAGGTTTCCAGGTGAATAGCCTAATATTGGCTTTTTTTAATTTTAAAACAAAGAACTAGTTTGACTTGGTGTACATATTGGAACTCACGAACTCAAATCGAGACTAAGGTTACCAAGTAAAAAGCCTAATATTGACTTTTTTTTATTGAATTGGTGTACATATAGAAACTCGTGTATATGCTAATGCAAAGGAAATGCAAATTTGCAAAAGAAAAAGACAATTCTTTACGAATTCTTAAATTATCAATCCTGCTCTAACATTCTCTCCACACAATCTCCACTATTTGTTGATTAGCTATAATTGCTCTTTTTATCCTTGCGAGTTTCCGTCACGTTAATTACCTGCACTGTTAAAAAGAACTGGTACACAGATATTGATGTTTCAATACAAAAAATGGAGGTAAGATCATGCTCTATTGAAGAAATTCAAAATATACTTCTGATTCTATGAAGAAACAACTATCGTAAGCGGGGCATAAAAAATAGGTCAATCCAGTCAACAAATACCTGTACTGACAACTTGAAAACTCGGATTTGCGAATTAGAATAAACTCTAACCGAGCTGATCTTATGCTGAAAACACAATATGTTGATCTCCATCAAATACGAATAATAGCCTATGGGTTTTGGACTCTGGATATACAATACGATGAGTCTAAACGTACTCGCTCAAATTACTTTGTTAAATATAATTAAAAACCATCGAATACATGCTTCGTCTAACTCAAGTTAATGTCTAAGTTCGTGTAATTGGTTTGACGTCAAACATAGCTCCATACATGGAAATAAACCAGCAGAGCATAGTTGCCAATTTTTGAAATAGGAATTATGCAATTTTAAGTACAATGACTTTTTCCTAAATCATACTTTTGCTTTTTATTTAGCTATAAAACGAAATTTGATCTTGAATATAATATATACCGTTGATAATATCATGCACTTAATTTCGGTGTTTCATATTCATGTTTTGCTCAGATTGGCATTCTTTCCTACACAAAAGACTTGCACTATACCATCTTTTACATTACACATATTTCTTATTGAATGACAGGGAAATTCAGCACACACACAATCACCATGCATAATGATGTAAATAAATTCTGACAAAGAACAATTTACTTCGAAAAATCGATTCAAATTAAAAAAGTAAGGATCATATTCGAAGGTTGAAAATATTAAAAAACCCATACCAATAAAGAGATAACGTAGATCTACGTACTACATACAATGGTGATTGACAACATCAGGGTCATAATTTTTGAAAAATTTCAAAGATTGTATAGTTTTTTCCCCTTTGCTGTTTTGGAAGTGTCCATGCGTGCATGAGTCACCTTCATATGTCATTGAAATAATATAATGCGATGTATCTTGCTTAAAAATATCGTTGAACCGCGAATGCAGGATATGTTTTTTTGAAGGCAAATGTTAAGTAAAATAACCAATTAGTTGTTCATACTTTTTACTCAGTCATAGCTAATAATGACATCATTTAAGGCATCATCACACAAAACATAATGCATATAGTTAGTTATTCTTATGCCAAACTGTACATCTTTTGCTAGGCTTACAGTAAAATTGAAAAAGCAGTTTTCAAATCTTTGGACTAAAACGGGATCTAACCATTTCTACCAAACAATTTTATTTTTAGCTATACTTTTTCGATGATTTACATTTATATATATATATATATATATATAATATTTATTATCTATCAGGCAACACATTATTCCCGTCTGGTCTTTTTATTAATACAAAAAAAATATATCTTATTATATAACTTATATCAAATACATCTTAATAAATTGTTGTATGGTGCTAAAAACCATTAAAAATATGTGTAAAAATTGAGACGTAATAAGGCGAATAAATATTCAATGGAAACCATATTGTAACAACATAAATGACTATGTTTTGATTTGGAAAAAACGACTTACCTTTTAGTAAATATCCACTCTGAAGAAAAATAAACTAAAACCTTAATTATTCTGTCTATCTGCCAATCGCGACAGAAAGTACAGAATTGTACGTCCGTTGTTTACTAGGACACATGAATCAAAGATAATTCAAAACCCCATCTACAATTCCATTTTTCTGCAAACCCTCGCAGACGATCGATCTGATTTAAACCAATCACATTCGAGCTTTTCATCGGTATTGATTGATGTGAAAATAATTGTCTGTATCGAAAGAGTACAGAGACCATATATCGAAGATTTCCTATTGATCAGGTCCTTAAATGCGTTACAGGTACGAATAGTTAATTAAGAGATATACATCGATTTCAATAACACCAAAGCGCAATTAATGTTTGAAATATATACTTGGGTTTTGGAAAGCGACAATAAATCTAATGTGCCATGAGTCTAAGGGCTTTATTCTCAACAGGATAATGGGTTTCAAGCTTCCTTTAGTCGAATTAACTAAGGGTTTCTGTTTCGGAACATTCACCTTTACAAATTAACTATGAACTGACAGACATACTTTTGTTTTCGTTTTTAAGAATAACTTCCTTTGCATTGGGGTTGATATTCTTATTATATTTATGGACGAGAACAAGTAATGATATGAAAGGAGAAAAGACAGTTATATAACTTTGCCTGAAAATAAATGGTGTATAAGATACGCTCATGAATAGTATTGCAGAAGCGTCACGTATAGCGAGATCCGGTTTTTTGTTGGTTTCATAACGTGCAAAGAACGTGGCATTGCATTTCCCTAACAAGTACTTTTTTCTCGTGCACAATTGTCTCACTTTCTTATAATTTCTGAAAGTCACATTGCCACAGATATCAAAGGTATCATTGAGGTTCAAAATAATATAGACATTTTGAGCCTCGTAATCGTCCACAAGATACGCTATATACATTATTTTTTGCTTTGCAGAAAATGTCTGATGTTTACGTTTGACGCTGCAAGCAAATCGGTTAAAGTTAGAGAGAAGATACCTTAAAAACGTGTAAAAACTTTCATTAGGATATCCTTAGGCGTACAGTTATTGCCTTAAATATGAATGCCCAAGTGTGTAAAGTTTGTGGTAATTTGATCTAACCATACTAGAGCTAGTACGTAACATGTAAAAACTTAATCTGAGGGTTAAAAACCCAAAATTCAAAAAAAAACGGTATCTTTCTTTCCTCAATTCCTACAATTATGTAAAGTTTTAGTAAATGAATCCGCACAATAAAGTTATCGTACAACATGTGAAAAAAATCACTAAATTTCTAACACGTAATGCACCGCAATTGCGGAACGACAAACCAGAATATTTCCAAAATCGAAGGGGAGCCTTTTTTTTTTACAAATCCCTACCATAGGGTAAAGCTTTTAGGTTATCATTTTAAGCATACTGGAGTTAGTACCACAATGAAATATTTTCGTTTCTAGCAATGTATAGTACTACAATGATATAAGTTCGTTTCTAGCACTGTATAGTACCATCGTTTATATCACATGCGTCCTTTAGTGCATAGAAAAAAGTTGTACCAGCACATTTAAATTTTTATGTTGTTCTTAAAGAACATACATAGAAGCTTTTATAATCTCTGCAGGTACGGAAGGGGTCAGTAGGCATTGAAATCATTATGTAATCCATGTAAACTCATCGAACCTTTAAACAAACTTATTAGTAAGGGTTATCGTACCAATGTTGTAATTAGATCTCTGAATATAGTTTACATTGGCTGTTCATGACGTTAAAATATTAAATCCCTGGGATGTATTTTAGTTGATTTTAGTCACTGATGCAGGATTTTTTATTATTAATTGTTTTGGCTTTTAACTAGCTGTCAGTAACTGCGAGTACTCTCAAATCGTACTTTCTTTTTAATTTGACCTGTTGATACTATTTGTAATGCTTTTTTGTTATTTAATGTTAACATGGATCTTGTCTATATACCAGCTTTGATTATTTGGTATCCTTACAAATTTTCACTTCTTCGTACTATGAACATCAAAATTATTTCATTTTTCCTTAGATGCTGTTCTTGGACTTGTACAGGAAGTTTTATCTAGCACTTATTGTATAGTTTTATTGTTGATATTCACCCCAAATGTACCAAGTGTTAGATTAGTTTTATTGATATTAAAGAAATTTCTTGGTATTCCTAGACGGAAGATTTTATACATACAGAAGAAGAAGTATACTTAACAACAAAATTATTTTCATTTACCTGTGTATAATATGACGCAGGTTTCTTCAAAAGTGATGATTTTCTAAAAGTTATTTGACATTTCACAGTGATATCATACTTTAACTTTGTTTAAACCTGTTTATTTACTTTTGACTTTAATTATTTATCCCTTGTAATTTTTTATTAACTGTGTATTTGCATTCAGGTGTCACAGGTCAAATTTATTCGTTCATTGTGTGTTTATTTACGTTTTTTGATAGAGTTAAGCCTTCCAATTGATATTTTATAGTGTGTTTTTCTATGTTGTGATGTTATACTATTGTTTCAGAAAAGGGAGAAGGTTTGGTACCATTAAAACGTTTAATTCCGCTGCAAATGTTTGCACCTGTCCTAAGTCAGGAATCTGATTACAGTAGTTGTCGTCTGTTTATGTAGTTCATACGTGTTTCTCGTTTCTCGTTTTTATATAGATTAGACCGTTGGTTTTTCCGTTTGAATGGTTTTACACTAGTAATTTTTTGGGGCCGTTTATAGCTTGCTGTTCGGTGTGAGCCAATGCTCCGTGTTGAAGGCCGTACCTTGACCTATAATGGTTTACTTTTATAAATTGTAACTTGGATGGAAGGTTGTCTCATTGGCACTCATACCACATCTTCCTATATCTATTGACGTTGTCATGACTTGGTCAGCGAGAAAGCTTGAAAACAGGCAAAGTAATAGTTCAGAAGGAGAAAGTAAAATAAAAAAAATACCGAACTCCGAGGAAAATTCTAAACGGAAAATCCATAAGCAAATGGCAAAGAGGCATCGTTAAAGGTATGTTGTAATGTTTACGTAATTTTGATGTATGGTGATTTTTAGGTGCTACTTTTTGAAAAAAAATATTAGTCGAGAATATGGCAGAAATGTTCATTGAAGAATATTTGTAAGGTTTCTGACACTACTTCAAACCTGGATTAATCTGATGACTTATCACCTATCCTGAGGCTTCCGACCGTCGGGCCTATTCAACAGTCGACAAACATAGATAATGTGGGTATCATAAATTAACAATTGCTCCGACCAGTTGTTACAGCAATTACGCTTGAACGGATGATAAATGATCGCCTAGTTTTGTTCCTGGAATCAAAGGCCTATCAGCCAAAATAAATGCGGATTCCGACAGGACCGCAATACTCTTGATCCTCAAGTTCGGTTTCAATTATTTATTCGAAATAGCTCCAGCGGTGCAATCTTCTTTTCATCTTTTATAGGCGCTTGGCAGTAAATGGAAGTATGACATTTTAAAAGACGTTTTTATTTTATATGGGATTGTACGGCAATATGTCCAATTCTATTTCCGATTTTCTCTCTAACAGCCATATTTGGTGATAGGGTAAACTCGATCAACATGTCTGATCTTTGTCGATTAGAAGATGTAGAGCTTTTTATACACAAACCATATTTCTTGATCTAATTTTGAAAAAAAAAAAATTTTCTCTTCCATGTTTTAATGTTAAAATAAAAATTAAAGAACCTTAGTGAGCGCGCTCACATACCCCACGTCCTCACATTGTCATTGGAGAAATAAAATATGTGTAAGAAAAAAAAAATTGAATCATAATTTCCTGTCAATATGCACATCTACATAGTATGTCCTTATTATCTACAAAGTTTCATGAAATTATGGTGTGTGGTTTCAGAGGAGTTGCGATGAAAAACTGTTGCAGAATTCATTAAAGCAAATAAGTTCAAAAGGGCGTAACTCCTAGAAAAAATATTGAATCATAATTTCCTGTCGATATGCACATCTACATAGTATGACCTTATTATCTACAAAGTTTCATGAAATTCTGTTGTGTGGTTTCAGAGGAGTTGTGATGACAAACTGTTGCAGTAGTACATTGAAGCAAATAAGTTCAAAGGGGTGTAACTCCTAGAAAAAAAATTGAACCGTAATTTCCTGTCGATATACACATCTACATAATATGTCCTTATTATCTAAAAAGGTTTCATGAAATTCTGTTGTGTGGTATCAGAGGAGTTGCGATGACAAACTGTTGCAGTAGTACATTAAAGTAAATAAGTTCAAAGGGGCGTAACTCCTAGAAAAAAATTGAACCGTAATTTCCTGTCGATATGCACATCTACATAGTATGTCCTTATTATCTAAAAAGGTTTCATGAACTTCTGTTGTGTGGTATCAGAGGAGTTGCGATGACAAACTGTTGCATAGTACATTGAAGCAAATAAGTTCAAAGGGGCGTAACTCCTAGAAAAAAAATTGAATCGCAATTTCCTGTCGATATGCACAACTACATAGTATGTCCTTATTATCTAAAAAGGTTTCGTGAAATTCTGTTGTGTGGTTTGAGAGGAGTTGCGATGACAAGAAACAGGACTGACGGACTGACGGACTGACGGACTGACGGACTGACAGACGGACAGACGGACGGGTCAAAAACATTATACCCTCCGCAACTCGTTGCGTGGGGTATAAAAACAAAACAAGAATGTTTCCATAGTAAACGGATGCCCCACTCGCACTATCATTTTCTATGTTCAGTGGACCGTGAAATTGAGGTCAAAACTCTAATTTGGCATTAAAATTAGAAAGATCATATCATAGGGAACATGTGTACTAAATTTAAAGTTGACTTCAACTTCATCAAAAACTACCTTGACCAAAAACTTTAACCTGAAGTGGGACAGACGGACGAACGGACGAACGAACGAACGGACGCGCTGACCGAAAAACATAATGTCCCTCTACTATCGTAGGTGGGGCATAAAAATTAAAAAAAGTGGCGAGCGTTGCTGATCATTACATTTTAATGAATTTGAATAGATTTCTATTTCGTTCGTTCTGAACTATATTACAGAAAGAGTTGAATCTGAAACCCATATGTTGATCAGGAAACTTAAATCCATTACTGATCGAGTTTCCGAATGTGATAGACCATATAATGATTTCAGATAATATATTAGAAAACATGTTTTTGAATTTATTGAAAAATGCT